CCCCAAAACCCCAAAACCCCAAAAAGTAACTAATTACTTTAATTAGAAGTCATGAAATAAAGATTAATTGTGATTTCAATAAATTAAAGGATGCTCATTGATTCTTACCATTTAATTATCAAAGATCTTCATCACTATCATTGAAGAATTTAGAGTTCTTGAAATCATCAACAAAGTCTCTATATTAATATTGCTGGCCTCTATAATTATTAAACTAGTTGTTATTGTTTAATGCTCGTGGGTAATCCTAATACTCTTCCTCAAAAGGATCATCATAAAAATTGTTATTATACTGCTGCATAGTACTTTACCCCCTCATGGTTGCTGTATTATTGAGTATTGATTATCTGTGAGATTAGTTCAATTGTGGTCCAAGATTGCTTTGATTTAGTCCTTGAAATTCTTGATTAAACATAAGTTGCATCTAAGCTTAAGATGATCTCCTTGTTCCAAGTTATGGTAAATCATGGATAAAACTGCTTTGATTTAGTTAAGAGAAGTTGTCTTTAAGTCTCAGATCATTTAGGTTGCCAAAGATGTCATCCCTCATTCTTAAAGGATCCCTGATACTTAGATCAAGATCGGCTTCATTCATCTTATCATCTGGGTTCACTTTCTTAATTTCTTGCAATTCATAGACTTGAGGTATTCTATCTTTGTTAATAGGTTAATAAGTTGAGATTGTTTGATTTGTCATCAGAGGATTATCAATATCTTTTCCTGATACTACATTTTACTTCAGGTCTCTCAGAGGGTTTTACATTAAATCAGTTATTTTATTGTTCATCTTATCTTCTATTGCTTTCTATATTGGGTCGATGACCTTATCTCTCTTAGTTCTTCTATCATTAATAAATATCTCAACTGTATTCTACTGGCTTTTCTTCTAATCCATCAATTTTCTTGTATGTTCATAGTACCAGAATCTATCCAGTTTTGGGCATTATAGTTTTAGATCATATATTTTTGCTTGTGGCAAATCAGCCTTATTCTACTCTAAGAGGAATAAGTAGAACTTTCCATTGCCATTATGCACTGCATTGCATATCTTATGGTTGTTTGGGAGTGATCTCAATTGGTACCAAACTTCCTTAGATTAATTGTAAAGATAGACACTCTTTTCAATTTCATATTCTGGCATCTATTTCTCAGCATCTTTATCTGAGTTATTTTTTTTCAAACTTTCTCTCTAATCATTTCCACCTCCAATTCCTCCCTAGAATTTTTACAGTCCTCCAAGTATTATTATGTTATCTTTATCAAAAGTGAAAGCAATCACATTACACAGCTTTTTGGGCAGCTAAATCTTAAGCAAATTCCACAAGTTCAATTCTATATTCAAGCGCTCTACACTATTGTAAAATACATCTGATTCGTTTCTCCCACCAAAAACGAAAATATGGTTTGTTCCAATCATGCAGGCTCCACAATTTATTCTTCTGTTATTTAGACTTGCTACTTATTCCCACTCTTTCTTGTCAATTGAGTACCTCTCAACATTATCTAGTGCTGAGCCTTTGCTCACACTGAAGCCTCCAATACAATAGATCTAATTATGTTTTGGCTCATACACCATTGAGAAGAACTATCTTCTTTTGTACATCTCCATTATTTCAGTTATTTTACCTCTTACTAGAGTAAATGCCTTCTTTGATGACTTTCCAGCTTTTTAATCGAATCCACCTGCAATAAAGAAAGACTCTTTGCCAATAAACACTGATTTAAAGTTCTTAGGCATTTTATCTGCTAAATTTTCCTCATCAATCACCAGAAGTTGAGTAAATTGCTGAGTCCTTTCTCTATATTCAAAAACCCCAAATTACATTGTGTTGAAAACCACTAATGGAGTTTAGGCACTTGAGTTATCCATGATTTTTCCCATCTTATCTATCAACTTTAGGTCAGTCTCAATAAACTTGAATTCACTAGGTTGATGTTTGGGTAATTTGAAATAATATGGTTTTCTCTAAGACTACTCCTTAATCTTTTCCAAATCAGCGAGGAACTTCTCATAATTACCTTTATTAGAATTGAAGTCATGCTGCTCATCTATTAATTGTAGTTATGAGTATTAAAAATTTACTAAAGTTAAGGAAAAATTCTAGGAATCCATTAGAAAACTATCTGATAAGATTTAGATCTTGATTATATTTTTCCTTTACTTTTTCTAATCTTAATCTTTCTTTCTTCTCAATTTCATCGAACTGCTTTTTCAGCTCTAACTATCTAGCTTTTGCTTTCTTTATTAATTCTTCAAAGAACTTGTCTATTTAATCGTAAATTTATCTTTAATGGCTATCAAGGTTTTCCATCTTTCTTAGAGTTTTTTGCATTCTTGACTCTAAAATATGTTCAAACTGCTCTCTTCTATCGTTCATTCTCTTCAAGCTATCGTAAATAGGAGCATCTAGTATATTTTAAACTGTATCTGATTACTCTTTCTATAATTAAGATATGATTGACCTCCGTTCATATTATATGTTTTCTGATTAATAAATATTTCTTGTTCTTTATTTAATCAATAAATTATTATGGGGTTTTGGGGTTTTGGGG